AAACGTGGCAAAAACACGTATGTGTTTTTGCTGCATTTTTACTATAGATCAGTGCGAAAGTAGCTTTCTAGCGAAAGTTTAGTTCTCTTTTTTCAGGTTTTTTTCCCTTATTTTAACATGTCAACATGCAAATAACACACTTTCTGCCCAACACTTACTCATGTCACTGTACTTATGGAGGAGCAGCGTTGTCACCAAAAAAATTTAACTGATAAGAGTGCAGCATGAAGAGCACAGGAAGTTAACTGTTCACAAGATGTCTGGCAGGATCAACAGGTATTTTTGCACCTATCAAAGAGATATACAGTAACAAAACATTTTTCATGGTAACTTTAACATATTTAAAGGGAGCAAATGATGGAAATTAATTGATAAGGTTTACATACACTTTAACAGTAAATCACCATTAATTCTATGACTCGCCTATCAAAACCAACATATCTAAAAGTGTTCACACTTGGTAAAACCAGTAAACTGTACAGATAGAGAGGGAGAAACGGGATACAAGCAAAAATGAAAAAAAAAAACGGGATACAAGCAAAAATAAAAACCTGACAGGGGTTCTAATCCCTCTCCATTCTAGCCTAAACTAAAAAAAAGCTTTGTCTTTAGTTATACTTTAAAATTCCCTTTCTCTTGCAGTGAAGATGTTGCTTTCTGTTCTCACACTACAGTGCCCAGTGCTGTCAGAGCTGAGTAGTAGCCACACCCCTCATTGCATGAGTCCACACAGAGACTTGTATTGCAGAGAAGTGGATGGGGGCCTGCCTGACCAGGTCTCTGTAAATTACTGAGGCACCATGTGCCTACTGAACTTTACAGTCATATTTACACCTTGCAAAAGTTCTGCAGCAGGAAAGCAGAGGTAAGACTTGGAAAATAAAGGTTAGTACAAAGTCTGCCGGACTCCTTGTATATTTCTGTGATTTCAAATGGACTTTAAATTACAAATTTGTTTCTACAAAGAGTAAAAGTGTTGTGGAGTTACTCTTAAAGCCCATTTATACTTCCTACAGTTCTTCCAACGCGTTCTGCTTCATTAGCCACTAATTATCTTAAGTGCTCCAGTTCAGGCAATTCTTAGGGTCTAACCTGAAGACAATGATTAAAATTCTTTTCTCTATGGAAAATTAAACTGCACAGTACAGGAAATGAAAAGCAGGGTCTAGCTAATTCTAGTCTGATACTTTTTTTTTTCTCTCTCTCTCTCTCTTTTTTTTTTTGTTTTAAAAAGAAAAGAGTTTTTTAAACATTCATTGCTCACTGACAGTCTAAAAATTCTCCAGTCTACAATACCCCTGGCAAGCGAAGGCAATAGACTCCTAGCGATTTAATGAACCCATAAATTTGTTTTTTCAACCGATGCCAGACCTTGTAATTTTACTGTAATGAATATGCTTACGTTTTATATCTTGCATAAATTTCATGGCTATGTATTTACATCTGAGTCTTAACTCTTCACTGTTTGCCCCAAAGTCCTAAAAGTAAACAAACTCAGCTCCCCTGTTAAGAGACCCCCCCCCTAAAAAGGTTCATTAATCAGATCTCGTTGGTGCCAAGCATAACACAAAAAGACCTTAGCTCTAAACACAGACTGTGTGTCACAATCAAGAGCATTCCATGGCTGCAAAGGGTCATTTGGTGTCATTAAACTCAGTATTGCTCATAATTACTGTGTAGTTCCTACAGCCAACAATAGGGGGTGCTGCAACCACTAGATTTTATTCTGTTAAACCTGAACTTCTGTAAAAAAAAATATCTGTATGTATGAAATATATACTACTAACACTTTATAGATCAGGTTCAGCTTTTATCTGTATTGTATCTACTATTAAATGTGCCGCTCATTTCTAATTCTCTTATTTAAATTTTTCTTATTTACCCTTTTGCAGGCGTCATCTCTTTGTTATTTCCCTCTGGCCCCTGTCACCTTTTTAAAGTTGTTTCTATGGGCAAATTGTGGGTAGGTCCAGTATGGTGCAGGTAGTAAATACACAGAGTCCGATTGCAGCACAACTTGAAACTTGTATTAAACCTAATGCCAATGTTACAGACACCCGGGCAGGAGAACACCGCTAGGGAAACAACTTACAGTTCCATGTAGTCAAAAGTGTAGCAGAAGAGGTGCCGACAGTATCTGTTTCAGAGAGTGAAGCGGCCCGGTCCCAAGAGGGAAGCTCCTTTCCAAGATAGAAAGTCTCTAATCTTTCCCTTCTCATCAGGAACCTGTTCCTACAGCTATTTACTTTCCCTAACAAGCAGGGTCCCTCCCTGCACTAGCCACATGCTAGCAGCTCACCAAAACCTGGGGGCAGGGACTTAAATAGATCCTGCTGACCCAAGATGGTTGCTGAAGGTCACATGGGTGCAGCATAGCCAACTGGAATGCTGCTCCATTGACCCAGAAACCATAGAGAAATGTTCTTTCTTTTGGACTTCCTCTCCAGGCTGAAGTGTCACTCGGAATGAGCGCCACCTGCATTGGAGACAACGAATCACACCTGCCTACAAATCTGTACCTGAAAAAAAAGAGAGCTTACATAGCACTGAGGACTCTCCTCACTTCCATTTGACAGTGGTAAACCAATATCTAATCACCAGAGCAGGGGTGGACTGACAACTCATGGGGCCCCCGGGCAATAGGGGATCATGGGGCCCCTGTGTCCTTGCCCAAACTCAAAAAAGCCTATGAAAAAGGTACCAGGGGCATCTCATGGTGCCCCCTACTGATCCCGGGCCCTCGGGCAGTGCCTGAGTTTCCAAATGGTCAGTCCGCCCTTGCACCAGAGGTGTTTTTTGGCACTTTAAAGAGAACATTTGGTCTCTGTTCACCTGGTAAAGTAGCCCTCAAGCTGTAGAGGACATTCTTTCATAGGAGTGCTCATATTTTTAGAATATTTTAGGAATACCCTTGGATACCTAAAGTACACTATATTGCCAAATGTATTGGGACGCCTGCCTTTATGTGCATATGAACTTTAATGACATCCCAGTATTAGTCCATAGGGTTCAATATTGAGTTGGCCCACCCAGCGCATTTGTGAGTTCAGGCACTGATGTCAGATGAGAAGGCCTGGTTCGCAGTCTCTGCTCTAATTCATCTCAAAGGAGTTCTATTGGGTTGAAGTCAGGACTCTGTGCAGGCCAGTCAAGTTCCTCCACCCCAAGCTTGCTCATCCATGTCTTTACAAACCTTACTTTGTGCACTGGTGCACAGTCATGTTGGAACAGGAAGGGGCCATTCCCAAACTGTTCCCACAAAGTTGGGAATATGAAATTGTCCAAAATGTCTTGATATTCTGACACCTTAAGAGTTCCCTTCATTGTAACTAAGGGGCCAAGCCCAACCTAAAAACCGACACCACACCATACTCACCCCTCCACCAAACTTTACACTTGGTACAATGCAGTCAGGCAAGTAACATTCTCCTGGCAACTGCCAAACCCAGACACATCCATTGGATTTCCAAACAGAGAAGCGTGATTGGTCACTCTAGAAGAAGTGCTTTACACCACTGCATCTGATGCACTTAGTGATGTAAGGCTTGGATGCAGCTGCTCGGCCATGGAAACCCATTCCATGAAGTTCTCTACGCACTGTTGTTGTGCTAATCTGAAGGCCACACAAAGTTTGGAGATCTTTAGCTATTGACTCTGCAGACAGTTGGCGACTTCTGCGCACTGTGCGCTTCAGCATGCGCTGACCCCGCTCTGTCATTGTACATGGCCTACCACTTCGTGGCTGAGTTGCTGTTGTTCCCAGTTGCTTCCACTTTGTTATAATACCACTAACAGTTGACCGTGGAATATTTAGTAGCAAGGAAATTTCACGGATGGTAGGTATTACCCCTAGGTATCCCCTAGTTACAATAATCAGTCCTTTATTGGTTGGGTTCAGTTTTAAAAGTGACAGATCACAAGGGCTAGGGCAGCTGATTAAAAGTTCCAGGTTTTATTCCCCCTAGTGCAGCAGCCAGGCAAACAGCAACTTTACATTTTGGGGTTGATTTACTAAAACTGGAGAGTTCAAAATCTGGTGCAGCTCTGCATAGAAATCAATCAGCTTCTAGTTTTTTTTGTCAAAGATTAAAGTGGAACTGTACTGCATCTGAGTACCACAAACCAAAAATGCTATACAATGCATTTTTAATATTCAAAACAATCTCCTCAACCTATCCATGTTTCCATGCTTTATTTTGCTGAGAAATCATTTTGAAAAACACCTCCTGGCATTTCTGGCAGTGTCCATCTTGAGTAAAGGCAGATTATTTATGTAGCAGTTACTTCCTGGAATCCATCTGTCCTTAGCTCAGACATTGGCTGAGCTGAAAACCCTCCCTCCCCTCCTGAAGACTCCTGGGATGTATGACATCATTTGCCTAGGCATGGAAACCAGGAAGTAACTGAAGGAATGCAAAAAAAAGGTTAAAACAAGTAAATATAATATACTTTTCTATCTATTTACTAATGCTAATAGCATAAGGATTAGAACTAGTCCAAGGGGGAGGGGCTTTGACGTCACGACACTCATAGGACAGGAGAGTGTGATACAGCTGGCTGCGCACTAGCGGTTGGAGGATCCGTATCATTAGAAGTATCATATTGGAGTTACTTTACACACTTTAATACATCACACGTGAGTGGAATACTGGATATTGTTTTATTAATAAATAAAGCACTATGTTTTGGTCATCTCTTTTCGGTGCATATTTGATGGAGGAGGACAGCTAAGAGAGTAGAGGAGATTCATGCCCATTGGGCACAAGACACCAGTCCATATAAGGGGCACATGCCATTTATGACCTCACCCAGCGGTTTGGTCATATACATCAGGTGAGAGCACATCCAGTGAAGGTGTATACAAATTCTCATTGGTTTGCAGTGTACAGAAGCATGGGGTGTTCCAAGAAGTAATTTGCAATTTAACTGCTTCAGCTCTGCCCTATAGCAGAAATACTGCTACAGGGCAGCAGCTGTGCACAAAATCACGTATATATACGTGATTTTGCATTTCCGGGTAGGGGGCGCGTGTGAAGTGCACGTGCGCCCTACCCGCGCCCCACTTGCGGCCGTTGTCAATCACTGGGCCCCAGCCTGTGATTACTTGCCGGCACCCGGTGATTCCTGAGGATCTCTGATGGAGGGGAGAACTGTTAGTAAACAAAACAGTTCTCCTCTTGTCACCTACGGCACACTGCTTTGCATAGCTGTGCACAGCACAGCCATGCAAAGCAGTGTGCTTACAGTGAAGCACTAACACAGGAAACAAAGTAAAACGGCACACAGCACACAGTTAACCCTTTGATCACCCCTCATGTTAACGGTTTCATGCCCAGTGCCATTTGTACAGTGTCATTGCTTTTTATTTGCACTGATCACTGTATTGGTGTCACTGGGGATGTCAATGACACCAAGTCAGTTCCCCCCAGTGTCAGAATGCCTAGTGCAGTCCCGCTATAAGTTGCTGATTGCCGCCATTACTAGTAAAATTAGAAAAAAAAAAAGCCCAGTTTATATACTGCAATTTGTAAACGCTATAACTTTCATGTAAACCAATTAATTTACACGTATTGGGATTTTTTTTTTTTTCGCAAAGACATGTAGAAGCATACACTTTGGACTAAATTTATGACGAAATTTGATTTTTTACATTTTTTTACTGGACATGTTTAATAGCAAAAAAAGTCAAAAATATTGTTTTTTTTCCTCAAAATTGTCAAACTTTTTTTTTTAAAGCGCAATAAATAAAAAATGCACAGGTGATCAAATACCACCAAAAGAAAGCTCAATTTGTGGGGAAAAAAAGGACATAAATTTCATTTGGGTGTAGCATTACATGACCACGCAATTGTCAGTTAAAGTAACACAACGCCTTAACGCAAAAAATGGCCTGGTCAGGAAGGGGGGTAAATCCTCTGAAGAGCAAGTGGCTAAGCATCTGTGAAGATATACAGCTATACGGGTGAAAACTCAAAAAATTTGAATATCGTGCAAAAGTTCATTTATTTCAATAATGCAACTTAAAAGGTGAAACTAAGCAAGATAGTTCAAGCCGTGATTTGTCATGATTGTGATGATTATGGCTTACAGCTCATGAAAACCCCAAATCCACAATCTCAGAAAATTAGAATATTGTGAAAAGGTGCAATATTCTAGGCTCAAAGTGTCCCACTCTAATCAGCTAATTAAACCATAACACCTGCAATGGGTTCCTGAGCCTCTAAATGGTCTCTCAGTCTGGTTCAGTAGGAATCACAATCATGGGAAAGACTGCTGACCTGACAGTTGTGCAGAAAACCATCATTGACACCCTTTATAAGGAGGGAAAGCCTCAAAAGGTAATTGCAAAAGAAGTTGGATGTTTCCAAAGTGCTGTATCAAAGCACATTAATAGAAAGTTATGTGGAAGGGAAAAGTGTGGAAGAAAAAGGTGCACAAGCAGCAGGGATGACCGCAGCCTGGAGAGGATTGTCAGGAAAAGGCCATTCAAAAGTGTTGGGGACTTTCACAAGGAGTGGACTGAGGCTGGAGTCAGTGCATCAAGAGCCACCACACACAGACGGATCCTGCACATGGGCTTCAAATGTCGTATTCCTCTTGTCAAGCCGCTCCTGAACAACAAACGTCAGAAGCGTCTTACCTGGGCTAAAGAAAAACAGACCTGGTCTGTTGCTCAGTGGTCCAATGTCCTCTTTTCTGATGAGAGCAACTTTTGCATCTCATTTGGAAACCGAGGACCTAGAGTATGGAGGAAGAATGGAGAGGCACACACTGCAAGATGCTTGAACTCCAGTGTGAGGTTTCCACAGTCTGTGTTGATTTGGGGAGCCATGTCATCTGCTGGTGTTGGTCCACTGTGCTTCATTAAGTCCAGGGTCAACGCAGCCGTCTACCAGGAGATTTTGGAGCACTTCATGCTTCCTTCCGCAGACAAGCTTTATGGGGGATACTGACTTCATTTTCCAGCAGGACTTGGCACCTGCCCACACTGCCAAAAGCACCAAAAACCTGGTTCAATGACCGTGGGATTACTGTGCTTGATTGGCCAGCAAACTCACCTGACCTGAACCCCATAGAGAATCTATGGAGCATTGCCAAGAGAAAGATGAGAGACATGAGACCGAACAATGCAGAAGAAGAAGCTGAAGGCTGCTATTGAAGCCTCCTGGTCTTCCATAACACCTCAGCAGTGCCACAGGCTGATAGCTTCCATGCCACGCCACATTGAGGCCGTAATTGCTGCAATAGGGGCCCAAACCAAGTACTGAGTACATATGCATGCTTATACTTTTCAGAGGTCCGATATTGTTCTATACACAATCCTTGTTTTATTGATTACATGTAATATTGTAATTTTCTGAGATTGTGGATTTGGGGTTTTCATGAGCTGTAAGCCATAATCATCACAATAATGACAAATCACGGCTTGAACTATCTTGCTTTGCATGTAATGAGTCTATCTCATATATTAGTTTCACCTTTTAAGTTGCATTACTGAAATAAATGAACTTTTGCATGATATTCTAATATTTCGAGTTTCACCTATATAGGATTATCAGCACATGGACACTTATTAACAAATGTTTATGTTGTTTGATTTGGTTTAAATCATAGGTGAAGCGCGGCACTTGATTGATATTTATGTTATATAACACATTTTGTATGGGAGTGTGAATAGTGTGAGCGATTCACAATTTTATAACTACAATTTTGTATTATTGGTTCTACATAGCAGCTCACAAGATTTCACACTTTACACAACCTAAAGAAAACAATTCTACTCTGATGATTACAGGAGAGCCAAAAAACTAAATTTGCCTTACCAAACCCAGCAGTCTAGTAGGAGGGTGATACAATTAAACAGATCAGCTGATGTTGGAGAATATTGATTTCCACTCTACTTACATCTTCAGTTTTCATCATTTCTGGGAGTGTTGAATCCCTTGCTGCACGCAATGGTTTTCCTATTGTCTCCCTACATCACTACTGAGTCCTATAACTGCATAGGGAACAGTGGAAAGAAATCACAGCACAGTAGAGGAGGGACATGGGCATTGAAGTAGAACTTTACCCACAACAACTTGATAAAAATTAATATTCTTTTGCAAGGAACATACATTCCACATTAATAATTATGCTGGCAAAATGAGTGTGTGCCGTAAATTGCCTCCAGCATTGTTCCTGTTTCTTCGTGCTGGAGGCTGCCATTTTGCTGAAGCCTAGAGTCCCTGAGCAGCATTAATGGATAAGTTCACCTATGCAAAAAAAAAATATTAAATGCACATCTTTTTGCAGGTAAACAAAAATGTGCATTTAATATATGTTTTTACATTTTAGCCTGTACGGCATTGCACGCGCGATCATCAGAAAATGCTTGGCTAGCGGTTGCGACACTGCCACATTCCCTTGAATGGGTCGTGTGTGACGGCTGTGCTGCCTGCCAAACATGACAACATTCTGTATAGCATCATGGCTATGGCAATATGTACTACCCCCTTTGTCTGCAATTGCATTTTAGGTAGGTAGTTGAGGGAGGTAAAACTGCAGCTCAGTCTCCCCTTACTGGCCTCCAGTTGCCTATGTGAATGAGGTCTAAGGGGAATAATAATAAAGCAGTGAATGCGATATTCACCTAACATTTACAGGTACCAAACCATTCCCCACATTCACCAGGACAGTTCACCACTGCAGTAAATATTTGTTGATGATCAAATTCACTGCTATATACAGAGCCCTTCATGTTTAGTCCCTTTAAATTGTCATTTCTTTCTTGACAATTTCCATAGACTATGGAGAGAGAGACCAGGAAGGGAGCAGAGAGAACCGTAGAGAAGGAAGGGGGAGGAAAGGAGGTAGGGGTGTTAACAGCTACTGTCTCTTCCCTCTGTGCAGGTTAAATGCATGAATGCTCCAGCAGCGTGGTCCTGGAGCCTAGACAACTAGAATGATTCCTTAATAGGTTACAGATAAGACCTTTTGATTATTACCTGGATTGACAGCCAAAGAATGGGAGGGGAGCTTTTGGCTCCAGTCTAGTCAGTCGAGCAGAAAAGACCCCTGGCTCTCAGGATAACCTGGGTCAAATGATTTGGCGCCTTGAGTGTATGAAAGCCATTTTGCAGACGTTGAGAGAGGTAAAAGGAGGGAGGAGGGTAGAAAGCTGGGAAAAAAGGCAGAGAAACTTTGCTTTTCCCACTGTATTTGCTGCCTGCTCATTTCATCTCCCTCCACTCTCTCATCTGTCATATTTTGAGAACCATTTATCATTTCTTGTAATGACAAAAGGAAGAAGGCAAAATAAATCTAGGCATGGATTCGGGCCTAGACCTGAGCTCCATTTGTTGAGTGAAATATCTTAAAAAGAACTGCAATGTTAATGTATATTCAGCTGCAAAGTTGTCAAACAATGAAAATAAAGATTTCTAGGCTGCTTTCACAGTTTATGTACTAAGGACTTCTGTAAATTACTCTTCTGACACTTTCCCAGGCAGGGAAGAGGGGGAGCTACTAACAGGAACAAGAGCTGCACTGTCCAAACATGGCAGCGCTACAGTCTGTGACTTGGCGCAACTTGCTGTAGAGTGAAGCAAACGCTTCATTGAGGTCCCATCTGTTTGGAATCACTCACCTCTAAATAAATGCCAGACACTGAGTGCTTGTTGCACATCAGGAACACCTGCTGACCGGACTTTGGTTTGAGAAGGACAACGTTGGTGCCTGGGATGGAGACATTTGTCAGAGTGGCATTTTTTGAATGCTTGCTTATGTAAGTCTTCAGGGGAAATGTTATAAAAAATAATAATTCACTACATGTATATTATTATTATAATAATAATAATAATAATATTGTTTATTTAGTGCCTCCTCCTGTAGTGCTTTATAAAGAATAGAAATAGAAAAAGGAAGGTTCTGATTTCCTACACGCCTATGAGGTAGATCAAGCATTAGTGATCACTGAAGCCTCCTGGTTTTGAAGATTGCTGTAGGTATTGTATGTTACTTCGGTTACTTAGAGTCGTACAAGCTGTGCATTTTCAATTCTGGAACATTTTGCCCCAACCTTTGGGCTGACAGCATGCCCACGCTCCTTATATTAAATATATAAGATTTATTTTTATTTATATTTTACAGTCATGACATTGGGCTTAGTTTACAAAGTTAACACAAAAATGAAAACGAGAGGAAGGCGCCTCCAAGTGCAGTATGGACAATTTATTATGTTTACTGCATAAGAGCCTTGCTTCCACTCTAAGAAGAGCTGCCTCAGTGTTACTGCTCCCATCCATCCATCCCTGATATCCAACCTGTGATCAGGGGCGGACTGACAACTCATGGAGCCCCCGGGCAAAAGGGGATCATGGGGCCTCTGTGTCCTTGCCCAAACTCAGAAAAGCCTATGAAAAAGGTACCAGGGGCATCTCATGGGGCTCCCTACTGACCCCGGGCCCTCGGGCAGCT